GGGGTGCTTTTCTGCGAAGGGGACAGGACGACTGCACTGTATTAAGGAGAGGATGAATGGGGCCATTTATTGCGAGATTTTGAGCAACAACCTCCTTCCATCAGTCAGAGCATTGAAGATGGGTCGTGGCTGGGTCTTCCAACATGACAACGACCCGAAGCACACAGCCAGGATAACCAAGGAGTGGCTCCGTAAGAAGCATATCAAGGTTCTGGAGTGGCCTAGCCAGTCTCCAGACCTAAATCCAATAGAATATCTTTGGAGGGAGCTGAAACTCCATGTTGCTCAGCGACAGCCCCGAAACCTGACAGATCTAGAGGAGATCTGTGTGGAGAAGTGGGCCAAAATCCCTGTTGCAGTGTGTGCAAACCTGGTCAAGAACTACAGGAAAAGTTTGACCTCTATAATTGCAAACAAAGGCTTTTGTACCAAATATTAACACTGATTTTCTCAGGTGTTCAAATACTTATGTTCAGCAGTGCAAGACAAAAAAATTCTTTAAAAATCATACAATGTGATTTCCTGAATTTTTTTTTTAAATTCTGTCTCAGAATGGGAATGCACCTAAAATGTACTTTGATCACTGAATGGATTTAATGGATAGGGGTACTGGAGTGTGTTGGAGGGTCTATTGATGCTGGCTGCTAGGGGATTTATCAATGGGGGGGGGGGATCTATTGTTGCAAGGGGTCTGTTGTTGCTGATGATCTATTGCTGCTTGTGGTGAATCTATTGTTGCTGGAGGGGATCTTATATTGCTGGGAGAGATCTACTGTTGAGAAAAGGGTCTACTGATGCTGGCTGCCAGGAGATATATTGTTTCTTGCTCTAATCTCATGGGGGCAATCGCTTATTTCTTGGGGGTTATCTATTGTTGCTGGCTGCATGGGATCTATTCTACTACTTTTTTGTTATCATTAACACATTCCATACAAGTTATTTAGCACCACAAAATGATAGTTGGTTCTGTATTCTCTAAAAAGGCCTAGGACCAAAGACTATATAAGGCCTAGGCCAAGGGGCAGTGCTCAAAGGTGGGTATGGGGTGGAGACAAGGGGGTGACTCAGAAAAGGGAGAGTACCTGCACCTATTCTCTGAGAAAAAAAAAAAAAAGGCCTGGCCATGTCACATAAGTAATCTGATACTGACAACTTATCAGCTATAGGGCCTGTTAAGCTGGCCATAGATGGATCACTGAACAGCTCCGCCTCCTCGCTGGTGATTGCCCGCTGGAACTGTAGCTCACGAGAGGCATACAGGCCGTCAATCACCGGCGAGGAGGTGGAGCTTGGAGAGGAGGAGCCGAGCAGCAGCACGAAGATCAGAGAAGATCGAGTGAGGGAGCTGCCGGAGCGAGTGAAGAGGAGAGCGGCCGGAGAAGGAAGACAGCTGACCGGTAAGTGTCTGTACCGTGCAGATGGTGCTGCTGCAGCTAGGTATGCTGGCTGTAGATGGGAGAGGGAGGGAGCGAACCCAGGCTGGAGCAGGGGTCAGCAAAGTAAGTATCATTTGTGTCAGTGGGAGGAATAGTGCCCCATCATTAGTGTCACTAATACCAATGATGGGGCACTATTCCTCCCACTGACACCAACGATGGGGCACTATTCCTCCCCCCACTGACACCAACGATGGGGCACTATTCCTCCCCCCACTGACATTGACGATGGGGCACTATTCCTCCTCCCACTGACACCAACGATGGGGCACTATTCCTCCCCCCACTGACACCAACGATGGGGCACTATTCCTCCCCCCACTGACACCAACGATGGGGCACTATTCCTCCCCCCACTGACACCAACGATGGGGCACTATTCCTCCCCCCACTGACACCAACGGTTGGGCACTATTCCTCCCCCACTGACACCAACGATGGGGCACTATTCCCTCCCCCCACTGACACCAATGATGGGACACTATTCCCCCCCCCCCCACTGACAGCAATGGTGGGGCACTATTCCCCCCCCCCACATTGACATCAATGATGGGGCACTAATCCCCCCCCCCCACTGACACCAATGATGGGGCACTATTCCTCCCACTGACACCAACGATGTGGCACTTTTCCTCCCACTGATACCAATGATGGGGCACGATTCCTCCCACTGACACCAACGATATGGCACTATTCCTCCCACTGATACCAATGATGGGACACTATTCCTCCCACTGACATCAGTGATGTGACACTACTCCTCCCACTGACACCAATGATGTGGCACTACTCCTCCCACTGACACCAATGATGTGGCACTATTCCTCCCACTGACTCCAATGATGTGGCACTACTCCTCCCACTGACTCCAATGATGTGGCACTACTCCTCCCACTGCAAAATTACAGTTCTGAAGTAGCAACGAAAATAATTTTATGGTTGGGGGTCACCACAACATGAGGAACTGTATTAAAGGGTCGCAGCATTAGGAAGGTTGAGAACTACTGATCTATGGGAACGCTGATTGTACTGCAGTCGATTCATTGGTCAACTTCAGTACAACCAGCCTGTTATTTTTTTGTGCAATCGCTATAGCTGCCAGCAGTGATCACTGTGTTCAGCTAGCAGGGAGGGCTCCCTACCTGCGGAATATAATCGTGCTACAGCCCACATCAAGGTTGACATTGAAAGGGGAATCAAGCAATTTTCTTTCTTTACACCCATGGTGGAAGGAAATAAAATTTCATAATCTATGGGCTGCTTTAGACTCTTCTTAGTCACTAACCTGTTTTCTCCCTTGTTGCCCTCGGTTAGCAAGGGAGATTCGGCAGCATGCCAGGTCAGCGAGGGACCATGTTGAAGGGGCTTGTAGGGCTTCTGATCATTATAATATTTTGTATATACTTGTCATCTATTTCTGCAATCCAATATATGTTACGATCTCTGGGGAAGAACCAAGGTTGCCACGAACTGGCTTAAATGTTGCATTCCCATTATTATATACTGTATATATTACATCATGAATGAAAGCATTTTGACCCTTCCATTTACCTGTATGCCAAACAGGTACTGTAAAGCGTCTCCTACTGCAGATGTGTCATCAGCAGCAAAATGACTCATGTGACAGGCCCCTTAAAACAAACTTACATAACAAATTCCACAGAAATTAATTTTGTCAATTTACATGGGAAACATGAACCTTCAGCAAAAAAAAAAAAAAAAAATACAGGAGTCATAACTACATATATGTAGTAATATGTACAATGTGGAGGCTTCAAATAATTAAGAACACTAGGACATACAGAACAGTATATTATAAGCAGAATTTACTAGTATCCCCCATCCCAGTCCTCTAGGAAGGTACTGCGAATCAGGGCAGCTGTTTACACCCTTACCCCCCTCCCCATCATGGACAAGATGCAATCCACTTAGACAACACTATGGAGCTTTAAGAGATTCTGCCTAAACTCACTGGTCTACACCCTGTGCAGCCTCTACACTATAGAAATCCCACATAAAAAAAGGTCCAGTCACAGCACAAGCCCCCCGACCCCACCTCCGACACAAGGGGAAGGTCACATGCTCTCCCAAACCTTTAAATCCTGCTCCCTTAGGGCATTGTAGGGATGACTCAGATGGAGCAGGGAGGAGGCAAAAGAACATGAATTGGTGGAGTATACATTCCTGGAGGGGTCCTAAATTTATGATGGTGGTGAAGGGTAGGCTGTCAAGGGACACCATCCCAGAAACATGTATTCACCAGATTTCTTCAAGCACCACAGTAAGTTACTAAACGCTTCACCCGAATAGGTTCATCTGTGTGGAGATCCACACCCGAAAGAGACTTAATAAGAAAGGTTCAGTAACACGAACAGTAGGTTCATAAGTGCAATATACTAGGGTTGTACTATTAGGGCAATTTTCAGTTCAGCTGCATACAGAAAAAGTCCATCTTTCTCTAAGGATAAACCAATAGGACTGTATAGAAAGAGCATCATAGAACCCCAGAGCTGTAATGAGGAATTTTTTCCCAACCAACCATAAGGATTCTGCAACCGATCATGGAAATTTTTCAGATGTTCCATATAAGTTAGCCCTTACATTAATCAAAACATATTAAAAGCAGGTTGTGACGGGAGTGACTTTTGGGGGTGGGGGGACCTCTGTATCATCTTCCCAAATTCCCATTATGTTTAAGGCACCCTGTGCCTGTTAAAGGGTACAGGGTGTGTAAATGTGAATGTCCCAGTCTTGTGTATAGTGTGTGTTCCTTTCTTCTCGGCCACATGGCTGTCCATTGTTTGTTTGCCATGTGCTACCCCCCATTGTGCTGTGTATTCCTGTCCAGCCAACTATTATGGGATGCATGTGTCCCTGTATTGTCCCTGCCATGTGGTTGCCTATTGTTCTATGCCATGTGCTTCATCCCATTGTTCTGTGTCTTGGTTGGATGGGGCGGGCTGATGATGTATTTCCTGTTCCTGGTTGTGTTTCCCTGCCCTCTGTATATATCCTGTGTTTTGTGTTAAAATAAATGAAGTTGGCTTCCTCTATTAAGAAGAGCTGGGTGCTGTCTTTTTTCTGAGGGATTTCAGGGTGTGGTCCGTGGATGGTGTTCGGACAGGGGAAGCTGCGGTATAACGGAATATACCCAAGTGCGGTCGGGTACCGGTTCCGTTACACAGGTTGTGAAGGGGCTCTCTTCAAACCTGTCCCTGCTCTTCAGATCCCAAACCCTTCACCCTCTTAGACCTTCTACAGAGCACTACATGCTTGACTAGGAGTCAGGAGTGTAAAATTGTTTTCTTTAAGCAGGGTGACATCAAGGCATTGGACTGTTGACTAGCACATCAAACCTCAATTTGAATTTTTTTTGTACTTTGCCCCACCATTTGTTATTCCCACCTCCACCGACCTGGTCTTCCCAGCCTTATTGTGTGCTGAAACCCCCTGAATAAACACCCAGCATGTTGAGTTGTATGTGCTTATCCTCTGTATACTCTCTCTGCAATACTAGGTCATTACATAGGTGACAAAAGCACAGACAATATATTAAAGTCTTACACTCTTGCAGGTTGAACTCATTTGGTGCCTTTGCTGACCAAAGCCTCATGGTGTTCACAGTGTTGTTTTTATAGCCAGGAACTGGAGTGTCATAAGGCATCGCAAGCACTACCTGCAGAGGAACAAAAGACCATCCCACTCATCAGATACACTCAGATTACTACAATGTAAATCTAAACATTCATACAAACAGAAAATAGCGCACCTTTTTGATATTATAGGTGGCAAAGATTACAGGAAGTTCTGTCTACCTTTTAATATTAATAAACATTTTCAAGAATCATCTGTTTCAGTTGTGAAAATATAATGAAAGGAAATTTTTTTAGTTTATATTAGAATACCCGTCTGTACCCGTTTTTCACCAAATAATTTCCCTCTCCATTTGTCTTGTTTACCAATATCACCAAAAGTGAAAGTGAAAGAAAATCCCAAATTCTAGGTCATCTCCAGAACAGTAGTACAGAGGAAATCTTCTAATGAGAACAAGGGATTTCTGGTGACAAGGGATTTCGTCACTTTGGATGGGTTTCTTCTTTCTACCTGTTTTGGCTATGGAACAGGGAGTGAAGGGGAATCTCCCCGATGGGGCACAAATGGCAAGGCAGAAAATCTGACAGGGGTATAGAACGCTCCCTTCCCCTATCCACAATGAAAAAAAAAAAAAAAAAAGTTTAGTTTCACAGTGGGATTGCACTGGAGCGCGTAGGTTCAAACCAGCACGCTCCCACGCGGTGCAATTTTGCAGTCCATTCATGCACACCCATAAACGCATTGCATTTGCAAACTGCGCCTGAGGTACCTTTAACAGTATACTGGCAACCACAGCAGATCACAAGCTGAGTGTATTCCAGCTCAGTGAGGAAAATGCTCAAGGAATGGGCTTCTCCTGGACCACATTTCTCTCATTATAAAACAAAAATGAATGGTCTCAATAGCTTTAAATTATACTTTCTGCAGCTCACGCCTTAGCATACTCTGTGGAGCAATGGTTTCAGGCACACATGTTGCCATAAAAAAAAACTTTATTCCAGCCCCTTTATGATGCAACAGAACTAAAGCCTTCTATCCTTATACAGACAAGAAAGTTGCCATCTTAGCTTCTGTGTGATCTGCAGTCGCCATGGCGCTGTGCATGTGATCAGTTATAACACAAGCCATTTGGTGGCTTGACATTTCAGTTGAGAGAACAAGCAACTGTGGCAGTTATGTCCTGAATGTAACTGTATTGGGAAACTGTTAAATCAATGGGTTTAAAAAGCACCATTATATAAACCAGACTGCAAACAAACCTCATCCCTCATATATCGTATAAACCACCACAAAAACCAAATGGGACTTTACTGGTACAGAAAAAGGACAACCTCATATTATGGTATAAAAACATGTTTATTGAAACATATCTTCCAAAAATTTAGCATTAAAAAAAAACCAGTATTTTAGCTAGTCAGCCCAATACTTTACAGTATTATATATCATGACGTCAAAGTCCTCCAGTGGTCAACGTGTTTTCGCTTATTAGCTTCCTCAGGACTCCGAAAGAGTTTAAGGAAAAGAAGTCCAATGACCTAGATGTCACCATGAGCGGTAATAAAGGGTAGCAGCATCCACACAATGGATAAAATGGTCATAGATGAACATCCGCACACACGGCCAAATCCCATCATACCCCATACAGTGAGGCCACTAGGTAAGAGGCCACTTGGTAACTCACTGGCAAAAGAGGCAGACAGCAAAACTATCCACATGCCGATGTCAAACATATGTGATATATCCTGTGCACACTCTCCATGGAGCAGTCTGGTAATCCCAACATCAAGGTGGAGAAAGAAAAAGTCCACCCATGAATAATTATGCAGTATCACTAAATTATTTGTCCACCAACTCTTCAGTGTCAGTCACCAGGATCATCCACATATGGCTCCACCAATACACTGTGTAGTGGCGACCGCTCTCTTTGTACGTCCTTTCCCGCTGGCGGCTCCATTATAACTATTGTGTGGATGCTGCTACCCTTTATTACCGCTCACAGTGACATCTAGGGCATTGGAATTCTTTGCCTCCAACTCTTTTGGGGTCCTGAGGAAGCTAATAAGCGAAACATGTTTGTCACAATCATTTACACAGAGATGGGCGCGGTCATCCATTCTGCTCCAAACATCTACACTTTGGTATCTCTCCCCAAAACACATCAGTCTCCTTCCTCCGATTTCCCCCCTCCCTCAGGAATGCAACCAGCGTATGATGCTGAGTCCCTGCCTAACAATTCTTTGCCAAATAAGGCTTGGCTTGTTCATTGTGGGCAGAGATTTTGAGTAGAAAAAAGAAGTGTTTCTTTTGTGTTCAGTCAGACAAGTGAGGAGGCAGACAAGTGAGGACCGTTCGATATAACATCTATCGGAAAGAAAGCAAAGGAGAATCTCGCGGCAACAAGGAAACCCAATGCGAGACCAGAAATCCCTTTTCTAGCTCATCAGACTTGAAACTGCTTAACTCCAGGCATTTATTTGACAAGTACTTATTTACCTAAACTGCTTTCTGTTATCTGTTTACTGTGCTCTGTATGTTTTTATATATATATATATATATATATATATATATATATATATTGGTTACATCTTTCTGTAAATATTCATACTGCACCCTTTTAATCTTTTGGTAATAAATCTTACTTTCTGAAAGTGTTGAATTGTTTCTATAGCTCTTAATTGCAATTTACGAATTCCTGCCTCTAAAAAGAGCGCTACTATGAGTGTTTAACCCTGTGTATAACCGGTCTGTAGAGATAGCAATATACTGTTGATTAACCAATCATCCTAGTGTATTGCTGAGTTTCCTCTTTCTCTGCATAAAAAGGAGGTGGTGGCAGTGTGAAGGGTTAATTGCGTAATTAACCTGACCCAGTAACAATTGCATTCAGGCTGCCGGTATGTCAATCGTGGTCCAACTAGCGGGAACATCGGTGTGCAGGGTGCAGCTGGGTGTGGCATTGTTACGCACGTGACAGCGCGTCCATCACAACGTTGACCTCTGGAAGACTTTGATATCATGATATATAATGCTGTAAACTATTGGGCTGACTAGCTAAAATACAGTTTTTAAAGGTACATTTTTGGAAAATATGTTTCAATAAACATGTTTTTATACAATAATATGAGGTTGTCCATTTTCTGTACCAGTAAAGTCCCATTTGGTTTTTGTGGTTCTTCATAGGGTTTAAAAAGCAATCATGCTCACTCCCACACATCAGAAATGCTTGCTATTGCTAAAATTGATTTTCAGATTTATTCCCCAGCTTTAGGCTGCCCACAGACGCAAGTGTTTTGCCTTCCAAACAATCTTTCATACAAAAAAAATTATTCCTTAAGCAGTAATGGTTTTATCTGCAAGCCAATTGTTTAAATAGAATACACATGCAAATGTGCCCAATAATATTACACCGATTCTTCTATATACATAATATAACTAAGGTAAAACCATATATAACAAGTCCATGATTTCAGACAGACAAACATTTGATGATCTTTGTTCTAGCATGCACAGATACAAACCTGGGTATCCACCCATTTAGAACCTTCAGCAGTGCGCGCCACTCTGCCATAGAAATGTACAGGAAGCATGTACTCAGGACGAGCCTTCTCCCAGGGGTTCCCATATCGAAGCCAGTCATCAGCCTCCTCCACCTGTGGCACCACAGAAGAAGGAGTAAATAATTCCATACAAGGAAGATTTGTCACAATATAACAATATAACAAATAACAAATATAACAAATAAATATAACCTTTGACAATATATGCTGAATACAGTAAATGTGTATAAGACTACCCTGTGATTTTTGGGGAAGGTTTTTTCTTGTCAATTGTTTATATACTTAACCTTTCTGCCATTAATATGTATGTTAATGCCCCTTAGCACAATGCCTCATGCTCAGGATACATTAACAAAAGGTTCTCCCAATGACAGATACCAGCCAATGCTTTGTGCTGCAGCTATCAAGTTGGCTGTCAATGATACCGTGATACAAAAAGACAGCTATGACATAGTGATCACATGCAAGCTGAAGGGGTAATTCCGAAAATTGTGTAAAAAATGGTTTCAGATCTCAGAAAGCACTACAGCCTGTATACAGGATGTTAATGAGTGATGTAATCAAAGGAAACCCTGGCTTACACATTAACCCGATAAGGACTTCATCAGAATCTCTGATGAAGTCCATATTGGACGTAACATATGAAGGTAGGGGTTTCCTTTGTTGATGTCATCACACATTAGCTGGTACATGGAGGATGTCTGAAGGTAAGCAAGCTCAGGATAGTACAGATAACGGCTAGTAAATACAGAGACCATTATGGATGGTTGATGTTTTTATTGGGGAAACATTTGATGTAACTAGTCCGGTAGAGGATCGTGAGAGTGAATAGGGGCTGCCAGGAGCTGGTTACTACTAATCTTTGGCAGTTTAAGAACTCCTAGCATTTAGGGCTCCAACTGTTAGGGGAGTCCATAAATCCTCACTTTGGTGGAAGTTCTCAGCACTTGTCCTGGAGGCAGTGTCTAGCCGAGCACATTAAAGCTTGTAGGAGGAGTGTTCATTTTGCTCTAGGAGGATACAGAACCCCTGACCTCTGTCTGGACAGTGCTGATTGGCCATGTGCTGATCACATGCACCGTCCAAAAAAAAAAAAAAAAACACACCTCTCTAGCTCTCACCAAACTGAACATGTGCAGAGTAACTCCACACAATATACAAAACTGAATTTTAACATTTGTTTAGCTCATTACATGAAAGTAAGGTTAATGATATAAATTAGATTACAAAATCTTCATTTTTGCATCAACTAATTTGAGTAAAACTGAATACACCCAAACAAAAACTACTACATTTAGTATTTGTATGACCTCCATGATTTGTAATAGCAGCACCAAGTTTTCTATGCATGGAATGAATAACATATTGCAACATCTCTTTCCATTCTTCAAGAACAACCTCTTTTAGAGTCTGGATGCTGGATGGAGAGTGATGCTCAACTTATCTCTTCAGAATTCCCCATAGGTGTTCGACTGAGTTCAGATCAGAAGACATACTTGGCCACTGAATCACTTTCACCCTGTTCTTCTTCAGAAATGCAACAGTGGTCTTACATGTGTGTTTTGGATCATTGTCATGTTGGAAACGTGTACAACAACCAATGGCATGGAGTGATGGTAGCATCTTCTCTTTCAATATAGAGCAGTACATCTGTGAATTCATGATACCAACAATGAAATGCAGCTCCCGGACACCAGCAGCGCTCATGCAGCACCACAGAAGGACACTGCCAACCACCATGTTTCACTGTAGGCACCATGCATTTTTCTTTGTACTCCTCACCTTTGTGATGCCATACAGCCATCGGTTCTAAAAACATTTATCTTGATCTCGTCACTCCAGAGTACAGGGTCCCAGAAGTCTTTTTCGGCATTGGCCCTGGCAAATTCTAGGCAGGCTTTTTTGTGCATGGGATTTAGGAGAGGCCTTCTTCGTGGACGATGCCCATGCATGCCATTCCCCTCCAGTGTGCGCTATATTGTGTCACGGGAAACAATCACCCGTTTGGCTTTCTACTTCTTTAGCTAACTGCAGTGAACTTGCATGGCGATTGTCTTCAACTCTTCTCATCAGAAAATGCTCCTGTCAAGGTGTTAACTTCTGTGAATTTTCTGGATCTCTCTATGAGATGGTTGCAGTTTTGTTAAATTTTTGTATCATTTTGCTACAGTATTCTGACTGATAAGTAAAGCTTTGCTGATCTTCTTGTAGCCTTCACCTTTGTGGAAAGAAATTATTGTCTTTCTCAGGCCTTGTGACATTTCTCTTCTATGTGGTGCCATTGCTGACAGCATGAAATGGGAAGGGGTTGTCTTTGTTAAGTAACATCCTTTTATAATCATCTGTCTGCTGGACACCTGTTTAATGAATAATTAGACTCACCTGTAGTTGAATTTTTAATCGGAATTTTGTTGTCTAAAATTTAGCTTTGTTCCTAAGACTTTTATTGGGGTGTATTCATTTCTGCATTATGGTCTTGAATGAATTTGTTAAGAAAAATACTTTTTTGTGTGTGCAAACTAATAACTCTTGTTTGCAATCAATTGGCCTGCATTTGTGGGAGTATTTTGCAGTATAGTGTCCCAAAGAAAATTCTGATTCTGAAAGGAAAGTAAAGAATTTCCGACCAATCTGTTGGGGTGTACTCATCTATGCTGAGCACTGTATCTTATCAGGAGATAGCAGGGGGACACTGGAAGAAGGGGAGGATCAGAGAACTCAGGACCAAACAGCCTTTTTACACAATGCAGACAATTAACCCCTTAGGTTCCACAGTGAGTATAACAAGCATGCTTTACTGCATATACAGACTGATTTTACTGTTGTGGGTTTAGTAACACTTTAAGGATGCATACAGATACTGCTAAAGGTGGCCTGAGCATCTAGGCCTCAATGGGCACAAAAAGGTTAATAAAACAATGCTGCAACACACAAATTAATGGTGAAATAAATGTTACACCAATAAACAGTGGTTGTCAGGAGATATCAGTGGTCTCTCATCTTTATTATTAGAACATTATTGTTTATAACAGGGGTCTCCAAACTTTCTAAGCAAAAGGGCCAGTTTACTGTCCTTCAGGCTTTAAGGGGGCAGGGCTGTGGCCAGTGGGAGCAGAAAATACCCCCCGCATCAGTGCCACATCATTGGTTTTATTGGGAGAAATTGTGCCCTATTGTTGATATCAATGAGAAGAATAGTGCCCCATTGATGGTGTCAGTAGGAAGCTTGGTGCTCCATCATTGGTGTCAGCGCCCCTAGGGCCAGATAAAGGCAAGCAAGAGAGGTCTTTTACCTTTTGCAGCTACTCATAAAGGCTCTTGTCGTATTTGAGCCCATCCACTTCCTATTGGGCCTACCTTTTTCGGGCCTCTCCAAATTTGCCAGGAAACTATCCTCCCATGTTTTAACAGCGGCCAGAAGAACCATTCCCATGCATTGGCTTTCTACTACGCCTCCTACACGATCAGAATTAGTGAAGGTTATAGCAGAGATTAGAAGAATGGAATATCTCACTGCTTTACATTCCAACACTGTCCCTTTTGAGGCAGTTTGGGAACCGTGGGCTCTTCTTATTTCTGATTTACCTATTCACTTGTCTGTAAATGATGGCTAATTCACTGTTATGTACTGACATTGTATGTACCTATAAACCTTTCATCGATGAGCCTCTTTCTTTGTTCTTTATTTTACGATTTATGCAACTCTGTTTGTTGTAAGCATTTTGAAAATCAATAAAAAGTAAATTATAAAAAAAAAAAAAAAAAAGGCAAGCAAAGGGCCACATCTGGCCCCCGGGCCGCAGTTTGGAGACCACTGGTTTAGAACAAAGATAACAAAAAACAGTTATGTAGCAACAGTAGTACAGCCAGTAAAAGTATCTACAGCCAACGTGGCTGCTTGGTGAGATTCTTAGAATTGTGGTCTTGCTCAAGTGATTATAATGAGGAATGTATAGCTTTCTCTACTATGTTTTAATACATTTGTGTAAGGCAGGGGTGGGCAACTGTGGCCCTCCAGCTGTTACAAGTCCCATGAGGCATTGCAAAACTGACAGTTACAAGCATGACTCCAAAGGTGGAGGCATGATGGGACTTGTAGTTCACCAACAGCTGGAGGGCCACAGTTGCCCACCCCTTGTGTAAGGCTACATTCGCAAGGATTACTAGCCCTGGTGTTAATGACAGCAGATTCCTGCAGCTGTTTTTGTCACCTGTAAGCAGCTACCTGGTGCCGCCAAGCCCTCTACATTTCAATGACAGCTATATGTGGATGTCCGCACAGCCAGAGATCACTGCAGGTAACTGCAGCTAGCTGCTCACAGGTGGCGAAAACAGCTGCAGCAATCAGAAGATTCCTGCCACGGTCATATGCACCGGTTCTAGTCGCTTGTTCAAAGGTAACCTAAAGACGGCCATACATGGGTTGAATTCCGAAAGAATTTTCTTTCTAAAACCTTTTCTAAGAATTTCCATTTGAATTTCAACCATTAGTGGGTCATAGAAATGGACGATTTTTGTGTAACCATCAAATCTAACGCTGGCCATACACTATAAAAATTTTCTGTCCAATTTCCTTTAGATTTACCTTCAACTATGTAGTGCAAGGGCCTGCCTAATTGGATACAATTGAAAGTGTTGTTTAGGTTTGACTTCATATCATATTGTTTTTGGTCAATCTAAAGCAAAATTCTCAAGAAAATTGTATAATGTATGGCCAGCCTGAGTAATCAGGCATGTTGGAAATATTTTGAAAAATGAACAAATTTCGAATGAATGATGGGAGGATCGTGCAAGAAATATAAACGAAAAAGAAACGAGCATGAGCTGTGACCTAGAAAGAAAAGAAAATTCTTGGCCACGAAAATTCTTTTCTGTAGCAACAGGAGGTGAAATTGAAGGTTCAGTCGGTTGAATTTGTAAATCAATGGTGGCGCCATCGGGTTACAAAACGCCACAAAATTTCCGATTTTCTAAAGAAAATTTGTTCGGAATTCAACCCATGTATGGCCTGCATAAGACTTCGACTGGATGCAAATAATGTGAGCAATGTGTGTTAGTGGTTAAAAAAAAAATTGTTTCTATGTATAGCTTATATATATATATATATAGTATGTAATTATACATGATCATGAAGGAAACCATACATGTTAATTACATACACTATACATTTTAATAACATACGCAGGCTTTGCTTTCTACTCTGTAGTGATACGCATTGGTTGGGCTTAACTGCTCCTTCATACAATGGAAATCTAGAAGTCAGTTGACAGAAAAAAAATGCACCCCTGTGTGGCTGATATCTAGAACGATTGTTAACTCTTTCCAGTGAGCAAGAGCCAACCGCTAAAAATGTCATATTACCAGAGGCACTACATGGGCTTCCTGGTCATATGATTGGCTGTTGCAGAGATCACAAGCTCATCCTACCAGCTCACAATTGTAAACAGTGACTGGGAGCAGTCGGTGACATGGTGGGAGTGCTGAGTATGCATGCCCCCAGCACAAAGCAGTAATGCCAGCTGATCCGATGTGGCAAAGTCCATGTTAAAACACACCGCTGTGCTGCCACATATATGCAAACTACCAATTGGTAAGGGGGGAAAGGGTGAATGAGTCAAATATAAAAAACATTGTTTTCTGGCTGCTTTAAAAATTTCCATATTGTACAATAAGGAAATCTGTAAGAGCAAGTGTTTAAAGTATTTTTGTTGTGGCTCTCACATTTGTGAAGTAGAACCATGGCCAGTTTATAGATATTTCTTAACATTTAAGCAAGCCCTCAATGACCTCTACAGCTGCAGCCCCGTGGAGCAATTCATCTTTAACATTCACAACAGAAGCAGTGAAGTCACCCATGTTGGGTCGCAGCTTTTTTCTGACCCAACTATGTACCTGCACTGTGCTTACTTTGCATGAAGCCTTATGCGGGCCATAGATGGGACAAAAAAATGGCTGAAAATCGGCCGACAAAAAAAAAAAACAAAAAAAAACCAGCCGATTTTCGGATCGTTAGTGCGGTAATCGGTCAGCCGTTTTTTGTGATTTTTGCCCTTTTGGATTATCGGTCCTGCTGGAAAATAATCACCCAAATTTGTCGTTCTGCCGATGTTCGCGGCAATGATGGCCAAATCGGCCAATAGAATATAAAGAAGAAGAAGAAATAAAATATGAATAGAAGAAAAAAAAAAAAAAGAAATAGTCTATGAATAAGAAGAAGAAAAAAAAGAATTTCAGTCCAATATTATATTTGACATTTGAAAGTATAGCAACATTGTATCTATTTGTATCTGAATAGAAACATCTGTATCTGAAATGTATACAAATAGGTACAATGTTGCAACTTTTTCTTATTATTATTCATATTCTATGTCTTCTTCATATTCTACTTCTTCTATTTCTTCTTCTTCTGCATATTCTGTTTCTTCTACTTCTTCATATTCTATTTCTTCTTCTTTTGCTCTTCTATTTCTTCTTTTTATTCATATTCTATTTCTTCTAATTCTTCTTCTTTTCTTATTAAAATTCTATTTCCTTCTTCTTTTAAATGTCAAATATAATAGTGGAGCTCTCTGCAGGGGCACCGCTATTATATTAATTGCTGGCCGTAGACGGGACGAAAATCAGCCGACTTTTTTTTACCAATGGTGGTAACGTCGGCTGATTGAACGACCAATTTTTCGTTTTTCTAAAAAAAAATGGCCGGTTTTCTCCCCGTCTATGGCCTGCATTAGTCTCCACACTGTAAAACGCAGAGATGCTTTTTCTCCTACATGAGTTTAGCAGCATTTTTAAGGCTGGCAGGCTGAAAACTCACCGTTGGCAGAGGGGAGCTGAAATACAAATAGAAGTGAAAGAAAAAATAAAGTGTCCACTGCAAACTTTGATGTGGAATTACTTTACAGTGCCTGCATCTGCAGAGGTCAGTGAGGGTTGGTTTTAAAATGTATTTGCTGCTTGTGGAAAATATTTAAATACTTTAAAGTAGAACTGTGGCCAAACTATAGACAATCAAGTAATTAGAGGTTGCCACCTGACCTGTATTTTAGTGGCTTGGACGGTAAAAATGTAGCTTGTTGCCAGTATTATTAGCAGGCAAGTGACCAAAATGCTGGGATTTTTTTTTCAATAAAAAGATGTTGACCCTAACTTTAAGGTAACCACTGCAATAAGTCATAAATTGAATGCACTATCAACATACCGTATTCTGTCTTATAACTTGAAACTAGCTGTTCAGCCTAAAGTTCAACATTTTCATGTGCCCGGGAGGCACAGATGCAGTACCAGCAGCCTATTGAGATCTATGATAGGCTGAAATAAGCATCGGTTGAATGCTATACCAAGTGGCCGTATGGTCAGGTATTCTGTGTGGATTCGCTTGGATTTCACAGATATTGGCTAAACACTCAGTAGCATGCCCCAAAATGAGGGGAAATCACAACTTTGACAACTGTCACCAGAAACAGATGTCACCAATGGAAGTCCACTGACCTAGTGAAGACAGTAAAATGTTAGATTTTTCTACACCATCTGTCCCGATTACACAGATCACCAGGAAAGAAAGTGAGAAAGAATTTCAGGGTCACATGTGAAAGATTACAATGAGCAGTACAGTGGATAAGTGGCTAACACTTCCACCTAGCGGCACAAGGGTCATCTGTTCAAATCCCAACCATGGCACTACCTGCATGGAATTTGCATGTTCTCTCTGTGCCTGTTTAGGCTTCCTCCAGGTACTCCAGTTTCCACCCACACTGACAAGCTTGTAGGTTAACTAGCCCCCGTCTCAATTGGTCCTAGTATGTGCGCAGTATATATGAATGAGAGTTAGGGACCTTAGATTGTAAGCTCTTTGAGGGCAGGGACTGATATGAATGTATAATATATATCTGGGCAGCACAGGGGCTAAATGGTTAGCACTTCAATCTGGCAGTACGAGGGTCGCTGGTTCAAATCCCAACCACAGCACAACCTGCCTGGAGTTTGAACGTTCTCCCTGTGCTTGCGTGGGTGTCCTACGAGTACCTTGGCTTCCTCCCACACCCCCAAAGACATGCTGGTAGGTTAATTGGATCCTGTCTAAACTGACCCTAGTATGTGTATGTATGAATGTGAGTTAGGGACCTTAGATTGTACACCCCTTGAGGGTTAGGGACTGATGTGAATGTACAATATATATGTAAAGCGCTGCGTAAAATTGACGGCTCTATAGAAGTACCTGAAATAAATATATAAATTTAAAGTGCTGCATAAATTGACAGAGCTATACAAGTACCTGTAATATATAATAAAATGTTATTTCTTATAAACCACTTAGTATGCATAATATTACCAATTAAAAACTAATTTCTAGTAGAACTAAATTAAAGTGGTTCTAAAGGTTGAGGTTTTTTACCTTCATGCATTCTTTGCATGAAAGTAGAAAACTTTCAATGTGCAGCTCCCCCCTCAGCCCCCCTAAATCTTACCTGAGCCCAATCTCCATCCAGCGATATGCTTGCGAGCAGTGGCTCACCCAGGTCCCTCCCTCCTCATTGGCTGAGACATAGCAGCAAGTCACTGGCTTCCACTGCTGTCAATCACAGTCAGTGATGGGGGGAGAGGCTGAGGGAGGTGCTGAGCAGTGCTCTTTGTATTTTATAGACACACAGAGGCAGTTCAGGATAGAGCAGGCACAAGTGCCCCCAGAGCAAACAGCTTGGGGCACTCAGCAGGGGGAGGAGCCAGGAGCACCGGTGGTGGACCCGAGAAGAGGAGGATCAGGGCTTTTCTGTGCAAATCCATTGCACAGAGCAGGTAAGTATGACATGTTTGTCATTTAAAAAAGCAAACAAACAATCTGAACCTTTACAATCACTTTAATTATGTTACCTGCCATCCATTCATAATCCTTTGATTGAATATCCCGAATTCATATCGGATCCCATAACCGTAGGCAGCCAGACCCAGTGTAGCCATTGAGTCAAGGAAACAAGCTAGAATGCAAGAAAACACAAAAATACATCAGTTATTTCTATTTCATTAATGGGTCAGCATATCCAAAACTGAGGTCCCATGGCAATTCATACAACTGGGGAGATATCTATGTTTCAATGACTGACTCTGCAAGCTTGCTGTGGCCATTATGAATGGATCATACTGGAGTATCCTAGAAGTACAAAATGCCAGGGTATGATTCTCCTATGGGCGGAATGGCCCTTTAATACAAAGTATACTACACTGATACTATACTTTTGTTAAAAGCCACATTCCATTTTTGTGAGTAACGGCAACTTTAAATGTGCACTGAAATCTACTGTAAGAGCTACTAGACCGTCACTGGCACACACACTGGAAAATGTCTGACCATACTGGTGCATCGGAAATTTCCAGCCATGCAAGTTTGTTAAAAGAGCAGCAGTGGACATGATCTGTGTTGGCAAACAAGCTGTTTACTGTCTCCTGAATTCTCATGAATATTAATATTTGCTGAAATGCTGGCAGCTTCAAGAGAAAATAGGAGCATAATGGAAGTGTACAGCTGTAGGACACCCAGACTGAAGTGGGCCCCTTCCGACATTTGTCACTGTTGCTCCACATAGAAGCAGGTTGCTTTCCCCGATAGGCCACCTACGCAAATGCACATGTTGCACAGACCGTATGTCCACTCCAGGCTGTAACACACAGTAAGGGTGACATGTTGGGAATGCTGATCCTATTCAGACACAGGATTAATGTGTCCTTATGTATAGGTGACAAGCAGTGTCTTTATGTATAGGTGACAAGCAAGTTTGGATCTTCAGCAGATGGAAAATAGACATTTCTATTTGGCAGAAAAAAAAAAAGCCATCAGAACATAACAGAGTGCCTTGTATAATCACTTTCTGGGCTTCACAGTTGTCTCTATGGAATTAGAGGTGGAAGTCTAGAAATGCTCATGGGACAAAAACCTCCATCACTGAGAAAAACAGAACTAGTCAACGCAAACGCACGCAGCTTGAAACAGCGCCAAGCTGGCACAGTAACAAAGTGCCCTTCAGCAAATGCAAAAGTAAAGCAATCAGAGAATTTCACAATATAAATGAACTCCAATTATGCAGTTTAATGAATGTTTCCAGTTTTATACCGAATATATTCTGTATAAAAGCAGACATCTCCCCACTCTAGGCACTCATGCACATTGGACGTTTTGATAACGCTGGTAACGTTACCAGTGTAAAGTCACGTTAAAAACTTGACTTTTTCAGGTTTTTTCTTAGCTGCGTTTTCCAGCGTTTGCATTTTTAGAGTGATTTTTTATTTTAAATAAAAAAGTCCAAAATTTGTGGCATTTTACCGCGTTTTTCAGCGTAAAAAACTCCTCTAGAAACCCACTGGTCCTGGGTGTTTTTTCCAGCCAAAAAACGTTTATTACAGTCTATGTGTGCATGAACACATAGGATAACATGCTGGGGGGTTTACTGGCTGTAGAAAAAAAAAAAAAATGTAAAGCCAAAAACAGCAGCTGTAAAAACGTCCAGTGAATGGACTCCCGTGCCCCGTGACACGCAGAGAAGAAGTTCCTACACTTCTGAAAACGCAGCCCGCATGGGAACCTCGGTTCTCATTGCGGTATCCAGTGCAGGCGGCGTGCCATTAGAACTTATGGCACCCGCCGGCGGGTCTGCATTCCTCTGTGCGGGTGGTGCGGCTGCATAGATTTTCATGCGGATCCGCAGCGGCACCACCCGCACATATGTGAACCAAGCCTTAAAACCGAGCACATATTAATTACAATGAGGAACAGAAGTATTTTAACACCCTGCGATTTTGCAAGTTCTCCCACTTAGAAATCATGGAGGGGTCTGAAATTCACATTGTAGTTGCATTCCCACTCAGAGACAGAATTTAAAAATTCAGGAAAACATTGTATGATTTTTAAAGAATTAATTTGTCTTGCACTGCTGAACATAAGTATTTGAACACCTGAGAAAATCAGTGTTAATATTTGGTACAGAAGCCTTTGTTTGCAATTACAGAAGTCAAACGTTTCCTGTAGTTCTTGACCAGGTTTGCACACACTGCAGCAGGGATTTTGGCCCACTCCTCCACACAGATCTCTAGATCTGTCAGGTTTTGGGGCTGTTGCTGAGCAACACGGAGTTTCAGCTCCCTCCAAAGATGTTCTATTGGATTTAGGTCTGGAGACTGGCTAGGCCACTCCAGAACCTTGATATGCTTCTTACAGAGCCACTCCTTGGTTATCCTGGCTGTGTGCTTTGGGTCGTTGTCATGTTGGAAGACCCAGCCACGACCCATCTTCAATGCTCTGACTGAGGGAAGGAGGTTGTTGCTCAAAATCTCACAATAAATGGCTCCATTCATCCTCTGCTTAATACAGTGCAGTCGTCCTGTCCCCTTTGCAGAAAAGCACCCCCAAAGCATGATCTTACCACCCCCATGCTTCACAGTAGGGATGGTGTTCTTGGGATTCAACTCATCCTTTTTCCTCCAAACACGAAGAGTGAAGTTTAGACCAAAAAGTTCTACTTTGGTCTCATCTGACCACATGACTTTCTCCCATGCCTCCTCTGGATCATCCAGATGGTCACTGGCAAACTTCAGACGGGCCTGGACATGTGATGACTTGAACAGGGGAACCTTCCGTGCAATGCATGATTTGAAACCATGACGGCGTAGTGTTCTACCGACAGTGACCTTTGAAACTGTGCTCCCAGCTCTCTTCATGTCATTGACCAGCTCCTCCCTTGTAGTTCTGGGCTGATTGCTCACCTTTCTTATCATCAGTGATACCCCATGAGGCGAGATCTTGCATAGAGCCCCAGTCAGAGGGAGACTGACAGTCGTCTTTAGCCTCTTCCATTTTCTAACAATTGCTCCAACAGTTGATCTATTTTCACCAAGCTAATTAGCAATTGCCCCGCAGCCCTTTCCAGCCTTGTGGAGGTCCACAATTTTGTCTCTGGTGTCTTTTGACAGCTCTTTGGTCTTGCCCATGGTAGTAGTTGGCGTCTGACTGACTGTGGGGTGGACAGGTGTCTTTAAAGAGCTCAGACAGGTGCTCCTAAGTTAGATTAATGAGTGGAGTAGAGGTGGACTTTTTAAAGGCACAGTAACAGGTCTTTGAGAGCTAGAATTCTTGCTGTTTCTTAGGTGTTCAAATACTTATGTTCAGCAGTGCAAGACAAATAAATTCTTTAAAAATCATACAATGTGATTTCCTGAATTTTTTTTTTAATTCTGTCTCTCAGAGTGGGAATGCACCTACAATGTGAATTTCAGACCCCTCCATGATTTCTAAGTGGGAGAACTTGCAAAATCGCAGTGTGTTCAAATACTTCTGTTCCTCACTGTATACAGGTTCTGAGGCTAATTTAATGCAAATAAGGTACTAGGTGAGTTTAAATTACCACCTTACCCTCCGTTCACATCAAGCCCAACTTTTAAATCGTGAAACTTCACTGTAAGTCGCATGATTTCAAAGTCGGGTGACTTGCCGATTTCAGGTGCGATTTGAAGACATCTGATACAGATGTCTATGCAAAACACACCAAAAGTAGTGCATGTACTACTTTTGAAATCGGTGCGGCTATGGCCAAGTCGTAAACGCACCGATAGGACCGCTCCTATTACGGACAATAGGGTGCGACATGGCATGCATGTTTCAAATCGCAGGGCATGCTAAGTCGCATCCAGTGTGAACCAGGGCTTAATCAGTCACAGAAACTATGTAATTAATGTGTGTTCGGTTTTAAAGGGATGAGGTGGCAACCATATATCTGTTCCATAGATGACTAAGTGGGGATTTTCCCTTATTTGAGAGATTTCCTCTAAATTCCTGTTGCGTCTTTGGATTAGGAAGTGAAGGGGAATTTCCCCAAAAAGGTACACAGACAGCAAAATAAATACAAAAAAAAACTGGTGAGGTTAAAACCCTCCCCTTTCCCAATCTAAAACGGCAAAAGATGTTTTGGCTATAAATACATTTTAAGCACGGTTACAGCTTTAACAATGAAGTAGTGCTTGCTTGTGTATGGAACAATTCTTTGGTGATCACACAGCTGCGTTTTGTCAAAATGACTCTAATGCTTATAAAAATATTCCTGGTGTGCACGTAAGAGCATTCATAAAGTATTCACACCCCCTTCACTTTTTCAATTTTGTTATGTTGCAGCCTGATATACACTTGTTTAAATTCTTTTTTTTTTTCCTCATTCATTTTTTTTGATTCATCTACACGCAGTGTCAGTCCACACTGATGAGGTGAGGAATTCGTACAGGTTTCAGGATCAAAAAAGCACCCCAATAATGCAAACCGCTATGGGTGTGTATGTTAAAACACCCCAAAATCAGTTTTCAAATGTGGGGCAATTTGCAGAATCAGATTGCATGGGTGTGAACACCCATGCAATCCAGTTCTGGTGCAGACAAAAAAAAGGATCCTGCACGATTTTGGAGTGAATGCGATTTGAGCCATACAAACAGCATCGCACACAAATCGCATGTGATTTGCACAGGAATGCGGATGGATTTCTGTGTGAATCAAATGCAATGTGCAGTATGAACTGGTACTCTGGCTAGGTTCACCCCTATGCAGGTTGCGTTTAACCTGTTTCTGCATTGCGTTTTGCGCTGTGTTTTTGCACCTGCGTTTTTTCCTTTCATTTTTTTTCTTGTTGCTAGGCAGATTTAAAATGCATAAAAAATGCAGGAAAAACACAAGACGTGTTTTTCTGCATTGTTTCCATTAAAGTCTATAGAACCAAAAATGCACCTTTTTGCGTTCAAAAAAGTCCATGTTCATTTCCAAAAACGCACCAGGTGAAAACGAGGAGATGTGAACATATCCCATAGGAAATCATGTTAAATGGACTGTACTGCGTTTCTGCAGAAAACCCTTAGGTGTGAACCTAGGGTCAGTGTGCCTTTCCAAATCATGTCCAGTCAATTTTAATTAACTACAAGTGGACGACCTCGGGTGTAGAAACATCTCAGCGACAAACAAAAACAGGAGGCACCAGAGCTAAATTGTTGTTGTAAAGGGTCTGAATACTTGTGCCAATGTGATATTTCAGTTTTTTCCATTTTCATACATTTCCAAACATTCTAAAACTTGGTTTTTACTTTGTCATTATGAGGTACTGAATGTAGATGAATGAGAAAAAAAAAATATTTAAACAACTGTAGTATCAGGCTGCAACATGACAAAAAAGAAAAAAGTGAAGGGGGTCTGAATACTTTCTGAATGCACTGTATAAATCAACAGATATTTATGTGTATGTACATTAGATGTGCTACATGCATGTAAATAAGGTGACTTTTTTTTCTTTGTATTGTTTCTTTTCCGGTTTTCTTCGATTGTTAAAGGGGTTACGACAAGCTGAAAAAAAGTCTGTTTCTCAATCAGCACCACAGACAATCATCTTCCTATATGAACATGCCGGGATCTTTTCACACAAGGGGCCATGAACTGATGTATTCTACTGCAAAAATGCTTTAAACCCCCACCCAAAAAAAAAAAAAACCCTAACAATTACAAATAAAATGTTACAAATTGTTGTAGCTCCCAATCTGCCAGGGTGGGGAATACAGAAGGTGGAAAAGCTTGCAAGTTAGGCCCCTTTCACACGGGCGTTCCATTTTTTTTCTTGGACAAAACGTGACTGAACTGATGAAAAATATGGATCAGTTCACATCCGTTTTCCATCGGTTTCCAACCTTTTTTACATCCTTTTACATCCGTTTTTCATCAGTTTACATCAGTTTTCTTCTGTTTGTCAGTTTACATCCGTTTTTCCATCCGTTTTTCCATCCGTTTTTTTTCATCAGTTTACATCAGTTTTTCATCTGTTTGTCAGTTTACATCCGTTTTAACGGAAGAAAAATAGGGTTTTCTTCCGTTCAAAAAAACAGATGTTAACGGATGCGGACATAAACGGATATAAACAGATGATCATTTGTTTACATCCGCTAGTCCATAAAAATACATGGGTGTCCGTTCTTCATCCGTAAACGGACAGATGAAAAATGGACATACGGAACACCCGTGTGAAATGGGCTTAGGTTGTAAGATTATCCACCTTATATCTTATTAAGCTATAGAGGAACAATACAGAAGGTGGACAGGAGGATTTAGAAAGCGAAAGCTTACAATCCATTAAGCTATAAGAGAAGATACAGAAGGCAGAAGAGCTTACAATCCATTAAGCCAGAAATAGATTGATCAAATCCTGGCTGGTTCAGCAGGGACCGGCCATGATTTCATTCATCAATGGGCAGGCTAATTTTACTGAAGTCGATTCATCGATTTTTCGCATCGGATTACTGCCTGCAGATATAGCTGCCAGCAGTAATCATTGTGTCCTGTCGGCAAGGAAGGCTCCCCAATGGCATAACACAACAGCCCTGTCTGAGGGATTTCCCCATCAACACTGACTGTATTAATGGGGGAAATCGAGCAATTTTCTTTCCTGCAACTCGCAGTTGTAGGAAAGAAAATTTCATCATCTATGGCTTGCCTTATAAGGGTGTTTATAAAAGGTGAGAGAGCTTACAATCTACATATTAAGGTATGGAAGAATTTAAAAAATGTGGAAAAGCTTACCATAGGCAATCCTTCCTCAACTGGGGTGCTGTCTGAGTTCAACCTAGCTGAGAAAGGCTGTGCCCTACACAAGTGTCCGGTCGCAGTGACCAGGTTGGCCTCCAACAAGAGTCAGTTTATGATTGGTTTCTACAACTGCTCACAGGCTAGAGTTTGGCTGTAGCTTGCTGGACTTGTAATTCACTGGATCTGCGCTTTCTGGGCTTGTGCCTGGAGGACCTGATCTGTAAGGATTGGCTTTACCTGCGGTACTGTGGAAACAGGGCTATTGGGCTGTCTAGAGAGCCGGGACTTGGCCTTAAGCAAGCAAGACCTTCAAAGGTCCAGGTAGAGTAAATCTGCATTTTTTGAAAAGGCTGTGTGGTGTGTGTGTATATGTTTATATGCATGTGTTTTTTATGTGTCTGCATGTTATTTTTAATCCTGACCCCTATAATAATTCACAATAGCAACAGGGACTGCCACTGTTCTGAAAAGTGATCCAAGGTTATATCTCATTTCAGAGGCATTTGACAGGCAGTGAGGAGGCAATATGTTACCTCCTCACTACCCATTTTGACACCATATATGCAGCACCACTGTGCAACAGTGTGCAGCACCGACCCTGAATGGGGCTCATTTGGCAGGTATTAATGCCTGCTGAATGCGACAGGAGTATAATTCCTGCCATGCCACAAAGCATCATGTCCACAGCATGTGCACAACAATTGGGTTGCTGCCTCTGCAGCTAAAAGGGGAGAAATTGAGAGGTGCTAAAAACGTGACTCAACTGTGTGGTTTGAGCCCTTAGACTTGGGTGCCTCTAGATTGAAAATATTTTTAAAGGGCACCATGAATGAAAAAAGGTTGAGAAACACTGTGATGACTGGATCACAGCATCTCCAAAACTGCAGCTTTTGTGAGATCATGGGCTGCAGTGGTCAGGATTTACCAAAAGTGGTCCAAGGAAGGGAAAACAGCAACAGGGTCATGAGTGGCCAAGGCTCACTGATACACATGGGTTGGCGCATATAGACCAATCCAATAGAAGAGCTATTGTAGCTCAAATTGCTGAAAAAGTGAATGCTGGTTCCTATAGAAAGGTGTCAGAATGCCCAGTGCATCACAGTTTGTTGTTTATTATGGGACTGTATAGCTGCCGACCAGTTAGAGTGCCCATGCGGACCTATGTCCACAACCAAAAGTGCTTACAATGGGCACATGAGCTTCAGAACTGGATCACAGAACAATGGACGGTGGCCTGGTCAAGAATGGTTTGAGAAACTCAACAATGAGTTTGGGGTGTTGACTCCAAATTCTCCAGACCTCAGTTCAATCAAGAATCTGTGGAATGTGCTGAAGAAAAAAAAAAAAAAAAGCCCAATCCATGGAGGCCCCACCACACAACTTACATGGCTACCAGACACCACAGCATACCTTCAGAGGTGTAATGGAGTCCATGCCTCGACGGGTTACGATTAGTGCTCTTAAATGTTATGGCCGATTGGTGTACGTGAGGATTCAGAAAGTGGAAGAGCTTAACTTCTAATAAAAGTATATAGCAGGGTACAAAAAGGTAGACAAGCTGACAACTCATTAGGGTATAAGGGAAAATTTGCAAGGTAAATAGTCTACAATCAATAAGAACAAAGTAATTTAGAAGATTTTTTTTAGGCCAAAATAATTTTTGTTTTATTTTGGTTCTATCACTGGAATTTATGAACAGGGTAACCACGGGGAAGGTTGCCCAATTCATTGGAAAGCTTAAACTGAATGCAATGCAGTATGCTTAAGCCAGCCATAGAAGGATCGAATCTTGGCCGGTTCAGCAGGGACCAGCTGAGATTTGATCCAACTATAGGCTGGATGACTGACTTTGGTAAAACCAGCATCTCGGATTTATAGCATGTGTTTATTGTAAGCGGCTATAGCCGCTAACAGTAATCACTGTGTTCTCCCAGTAGAGATGGCTTCCCTGCAAAATTTGGACTGTGTACCCAGCTTTAGTCAATAGCTAGCAGTATTGTTGTCTACTTTTATTTGAACTGGTCCCCTATAGAGTCTCAGGATATTGATACAATAGGACTTGGCTGCTCTTTTCAACTGTTGCATGCTAATGAGCAGCCCAGGTTGTGTCTTTGTGAAAAAAAAGGGGGTAACAGATATAGAACATACCTGCCAAGCGTCCCAATCCTCCATTGCCGAGACCTGCATCTTCTTCTATCTCCTCCAGCTCCTCCATATCCAGGCCCAGCTGCAATGAAACAAGTGTTAGAATGACAAACTTTTATCTTCAAATCGATATACAATAACACCATCCAGCAACAGATCTTTGTTTCCTATTATCAGAAGACAGCTAGTTAGTAAGGCTGGCCACACACTATACCCAATTTTCTGTCCGATTTCTGCCCCATTTCCTTTAGATTTACCTTCCACTATGTAGTACAAGAGCTTGCCTAATTGGAAACAATTGAAAGTTTGGATTAGGTTTGACCGCATATTATATATTTGTGGTAAATCTAAAGTGGCCATACATTATATAATTTTCTTGAGATATTTGGCTTAGATTTACCAAAAACCATATAATATGAGGTCAAACCTAACAACACTTTCAAATGTATCCAATTAGGCAGGCTCTTGCACTACATAGTTGCAGTTAAATCTACAGGAAATTGTGCAGAAAGTGGACAAAAAATTGTATAGTGTATGGACAGCCTTTCATATCCAAAACCTATACTTTGTAGAGGTTTTCATGGGTGTGGAAACTAAGGTTGGCCAGGCATTGTACAATTTTCTTCAGAAAAGTGCTTTAGATTTACCAAAAACCATATAATAGGAGGTCAAACCTAAACAACACTTTCAATTGTATCCAATTAGGCAGGCTCTTGCACTACATAGCTTAAGATAAATCTAAAGGAAATTGGACAGAAAAATTGTATGGCCAGCCTAAATTTCAATCAGATGCTCCCTTACAGGTGCTAAACATATCCTATAGACAAGGGGTGCTCAAGCTGTGGCCCTCGGAGCTTGCCAACGCACCATTCCAGAGCATCCAAGTACATCAAGCCTGAATGCAAGCTTTCAGAAAGTGCACCACATTTGCAAGATATAATTCTACGGTACGTCTATGGTAAAGTGCCGCTACCCGCAGGAAAGCCGCAGATGTACAGGAGAGTAAGGGCTCATTTACATTTGCGGTTTTGGGGAAGGGGGATGTGTTTTTTAACCACACCCCCAACCACTGCTGTAGCATCAGGGGTCGCAGTGGTAACCCCGCCACATGCTCAAGGGGGCCCGTGCGGTCTCCCTGCTACAATTCGTTTTACACAGGAGGTGTGGCATATATATAACTATGACAGGCCCATCCAGGTCACAGGCTTTTGGAGGGGACTGCAGGCTAGCCTCTTGTCTACTAACCATGGGCCCTGGCATCTGAGGGGACTCTATTTTTTGGGAGGCGTGTGCCTGGGGGGACCTTTGGAGCAGTTTACTTCGGATTCAAGTCCATGTCTCCCCAAAATACACAGACTCTGAGAACTGGGGGACCAGGATACAGATTTGGGACCTCAGTGTCCAAATAGCATTGAACCCCAGCAACCCCCCCCCCCCCCCCCCCCTCAGGCTCAGAACATATGTTATCTTCCTGGTCCCCCGCCAGCACTCCTTGCTCCTCTATCCTGTTGGGTGCCCCACAGCAAGCAGCTTGTCATGGGGGCACTCGCTGCTCTGTGTGTCCTAGGCTTGGCCCCGCCCCCTCTCTCTTCTCATTGGCTCATTGGCTGTGAATGACAGCAGCAGCCAAAGAGAGGGAGTCCCAAGATAGCTGAGACTCCAGTGCACATCGCTGGATTGAGAGGGGGCTTAGGGGAGAGTATTAGGGGGGGACTGGAGAGCTGCCGCACAGGGAAAGTTTTTTTACCTTTATGCATAGAATGCATGAAGGTAAAAAACAATGAGTCGTTAGAACCACTTTAATGTAATCAGCTCAAAAACAACCTGATGCTGAGGTCTCCTGCTTTTTATGTGTAATCTGTTTTATTAAGATGTGATGTGTTTACTGTGTCCTTGTTCCATTGTTAATTGACTTAATGGAGTCACCCAATGTTTGTCTGTCGGCTAGTCCTCTGGGAGGCTCCGACATGATGGGATTAGACTGGTATAGACGTCACCTAGTTATCTAATTAATGTGGGATGTTTATGCCAATGTGCAATATTTGTTTTATTGTTCATGTGTGGACTGCCCCTATTTCTGAAGGGTACAAAAACCTGTATTTCTGTTCAACAAAGTAGTTCCAGTTTTTTCACCTAACCTAGTGTCGCCTAGTCTTGGGTGTGATGCCCAGCCATAATACTTTGGTCCTGTGTCCCAGCGGCAAAGAAGAATTTTTCAGACGGAATCACCCAATCGGGGTGATAGGTGTTCCATCACAGAAACCGATCCTCTCTAATTTCCTCCTGCAGCTGCTGAAAGCCGGCTTCTCTTCCTCTCCCTCCTGCCAGCATTCAGCAGCTGCAGGAAGAGAATGTTCATTATGCTATTCAAAAAAAAAAAAAAATGCTGAAATTCTGAACCACTTCATTTCATTGTGGCCTGTGATCAGTTACTAAATCACCTAAGTGGCCCTTGCTCTTCAAAAGTTTGAGCACCCCTGCTATAGACAGAGATTATCTAGATAAATAAACCAGGCAGCTTTTATTGCAATTGTATGATTGGAAAGCAGCAATGTCACACTTGTATGATACTGTTTATCTTGGAGAATCAATAATTAAAAAGTGGAGTATGGATTTAACATTAAAATGAGGAAGAAAATCAGTGCAGAATTCACAAATTCGACTGTCCAGTTAAATACTGAACACCAGGCAGTCAGCAAATTTACAAAACTATTTGTTGTATTCCTGGTCACCCATTCTTCTGATCCAGGCATTCATACAGTTCTGTACAGTGAAGTCCTGGACATCCCTTCAAGTTACATTGCATTTAAGCAACACCACCAGGTTAAGAAAACACCCCAGCCTGTGATTTGACAATGAAGGAGCAGCAGCACACTGATGAGGTCATCCCTCTCTTCTCTCCTCCTGTAAGCATGCTCACACTGACTGAAACCACTGTACATCCAGTGAATATCCGATTGCCTCTCTGGGGATCAGGAAGGAATTTGTTTCCCTGCATGAGCAAATTGGATCGTGCTTTGCTGGGGTTTTTTTTGTCTTCCTCTGGATGAACTGTCGGTATAGGATTATAATTTTTTTTTTTTTTAATGGTTGAACTGGATGGACTTTTGTCTTTTTTCAGCCAGACTAACTATGTAACATAATACAACAATGATTGACCTTCAGTATGGGGCTGGACAATAAAGAAGCAGCAACAGGATAAGCAGAGCAAGACACTCTCCCTTTCTGTTCACTCTTTTAGTCCTGGTTCACACTGATGCGTTGCGGAATTCGCAGCGTTTTCTGTGCGAATTCCGCATCAGAATTGCACCCCGTTCATGCGAACCACTGCGGGTATGTATATTAAGTTAACAACACCCCAAAAGCAGTCCGCAAAAGGCAGTGCGATGTGCAGAATCGGAACGCATAGGTGTGAATACCCATGCAATCTGATTCTAGTGCGGACCAATAAAAGGGTCCTGCATGTTTTTTGGTGAGGGTGCAGTGCGATTGGAGCCATACAAAATGTATGGCTCCAATCGCACAGCACACAAATCGCATGTGTGATTTGCACAGGAATGCAGTGCAGTGAACCCAACCTCAACCTGATAGCACTATGCAATGCAGTTAAGGCCTGAGTGCTTCAGATTACTGCCACTTCCAGTTTGAGTGTTGCTGCACAGGGGATTACAGGGTGCCAAGATTTAGAATCAAAGAAAAAATAAATAAAATTGAGGCATTGAGATAGTAGAAACAAACTTCATATAAGCCCAACTGCTTGTATTCAGCAGCTTTCTATAAAAGCAACCCCCCCCCCACCAGATTTAGGATTTACCCATCTTGAGAAGTCCACCTGTAGTTGAGCCAAAAAGAGCGCCAAACAAATGTTTTAGCAGTCCAAAGGGTTGATTGTTTCCACACATTCCAGTGAGGAAAAAGAAAGCATCCAATGCATTTCAAGAACCCAAAGCAGGAAAAGGTCCTGGGAATGTGAATCCAAATCAGGGGATTGTTACATGAGTGATAGAGCTTATATCAGCTTTGGAGTAGTATGGACAATTCATTATTATTTAATTAGAGAATTTGGCCCTGGTAAAGGGGGATTTTTTAGCCCCCCCGCAACATTTGTGGAATCAATAAATCACTTAAGAGAAGTGAATCGGTGCTGCGCTACTCAATGCATAAAAAATAAATCATAAAAAATAAATGAATAGAATCGGAAGATGAATGCACATATGACCCTCATCCAAGTGTAAAACAACATATGCAAAAAACAGCAAACAAGTGAACACAAGATAATAATAATAAAAAATTGATGTGTTAAAAAGAAACAATGTGTTACAGTGAATAAGCCCAAAAAGGATAATAACAGTCCCAAAAAACAGGAACACAATAGATCTTCAACACAAGCCGTGAAACATCCAGTGATGAAAATATATCAAATCAATCCTCCACCGGCTAGCGTGCATGCACACCTCCAAAAATGCGACCCACAAGGAGTCATAAAGCATACAAAAAACCTCAAACGATGATCCCAAATAGATGGTCCTCGATAGCAATCAAAGAAAGAGGGGTGCTCTCCGATGACGCTGGCAAACACTCACAGGCATGCTTCAGATATGGCCACAGACCTCCATCACCTCCAGTATCCCCACATGGAAGATTTAAGCAAGAAGACTTCCCTTAGTGTAATATGTAATACTTTATTATAAACAGCACCCAAAATGACTACTCACAGTACAGGCAAGATTACTGCAGCAAAAAACTGCAATAAAAGGTGTATAGGATCGGGAGTACCAAGATGGCGGCTGTTGTCCGTACCGGATATGACATCACCACGCTTCCATTCGAATCACTTAACACTTTGGCGCACTTTCTGACTCTACAAATGAAATGATCAGGAAATGACCAAGAATCAGGTATTTATGTCAGTCCCATGTAAGTTAGTTTGGGTAAAGTAGGGAAAGGATAGACCTTTTCTTGGGGAGATTCACCCCTGGATGTCCTGGTGACCGCTGCTGTCATTGGAGCAAGCAGTGGGGGAAAACCCTCCACTCGGGACCCCTGTTCCCAAAACTAACTCTCTAAGACTAGAATTCCATTCAC